GAGTCCCTTTGGAAAAGCATGTTTCCCTTGTCCTGTTTGGGTTCTGGTGCCAACCAGGCCAGCGAGAAAAGGTCCCACTCAGTGAATTTAAACAAATTAAGGTGTGACCCCCCCCCCCCCCCCCCCCCCCAACCAACCACCACCACAAACGTCATGCCAAGAAAATAAGTGTCTCCTAGAAAGAACAAACCCATTGTTTTAATTAAAGTTATAAATAGCCCTTCTTTAATGTGTTAACAACATACTGCTGCCAAGCAATTACAATTTTACCAGTTTAATGCATTTTTCCTCTTTCTGTAATATTATGCAAATCGTTGGTATTCGGCATAATTGGAGGCACTGAAATCTGATTCCTGTACTTCATTGTTTAATGTGATATCATATTTATACACATTTGTATTTAGAATTTCTTTTCTTTAGGCTGAAGGCTTCACCACAAGTGTCTCACACTCATCCTCTGTTGTCCTGAAGTCCTAACGAGCGGCAGTTAGCACCATGACATGCAGCGATAGAAACAATCGATCAGCCAACGGCGCACTACGTATCGTAATTTCGGGCCAGTATAATTAGTAGCGCTTTCAGTATTAAATGCAAAATTGTTTTAATTAATGTGGGAGTAAGCTAATAAAAACACGTAGATGTTCAGAGGCATAAAAGTACCAAATTAAGAGAGGACTGAGCAATTTAAGACGATTTAATTAAGACAATTGCACTGCTAGTCGGTAACAAATGGTTATGAAGCATCCTTGGATAAATTTTTTCAATTATTATATAACATCATTATGAAATAAAATGGGGGAAAACTGGCTATAAAGGGAAAATAGTTTGTGATTATATTAAGACATCACGGATGACTTTGACAGGTTAACCTTGGCTGGACATTCGTTGACCTGTCGAAGCTACCAAGGAATCTCGGAGAGAAACAGTGGCTGGCAGGTGACTGGGGGTCTGTGTAACACAGGAATAACGGCCGGGCCAATTTCCACTCCAGGTTTTGTATAAGGGGGTGAAAAAACAACACAATTAATCCTGTTAGCAGATGCTTTTCACAAGCATAACAGACCGTTTGTTGTGGCGTTGTATTCAAATTGCAGTTGCTAAAGTTAAAATTTATCCCGCCGGCAAGGTGAAAACGCAGAACGAATAATAAACAATGATACAGCAGCAGTGAGCCATGATCTTTTAGTACTTGGGAGATGCTGAACTACATTAAAATGACCCCTGATTTATCAGGTATCTCTGCCAGGTCAACGTTTAATGCTAGTTTACCCACCTTTTTTCTTTTTTAAATCCTGGAATAATCATGCACAGTAATGGAGGAGCACTTTTCCTGCATGACATTTAACCAGAGCGCTGGGAGCTGTCGCCTCCTGTTTACCCTGGCGGCCGGTGAATGTAGAACGGGCCCGAGCGTCTGCCCAGAACGAGGCGGCAGGCCTGGAGGCCTGCTCCCAGATCGATTATGCGCCGGCTTCATAAATAATTCAGCAGACAGAGCCGGGTGGGTGTTTAATGTCACCTCCAGAAGTTCTGCGGAGGAGCCAGAAAGAAAGAGGGCGACTTTTGAGGAGTGAAGCCTGTACCGGGCCAGGTGGATGACAAATGAGGAATCAGTCTCTCTGGACCACGATGTACAGCCGCGATCTGTCGCCGTTTCCGCATTTGTTTGGGGTTAGACCGCTTTCACATGTTGATAAATTCTAAGCTATCATGGTCCATATATGTAATATTATAATTAAATATTATAATCCATTATAAGCCATTTTTCATCAGTCTGCCATCTTAACCCCTCCCCGTCCCCCTGCCATCTGACCTGCTCCACATAGGAATTCTAGTGCTGGCGGCTATTGACAAAGATGGTGATGGACAGTAGAGAGCCCTGAGAGGCGGAACGACAGAATGAAGCCGATAATCTCCTGAAGTTACAAAGTAGCTCAAATACAAATTCTTACTCTAAGTTTCAAACCAAAAAGCACAGTTTGATGTGAAGGATTGTTGGTATGGTACATCTCAGGTGTCTGAGCATTTGCATCTTAAATAACTTTCTGATTTGCCCTTAATGGTTTATAATGGATTTTAAAACAGATTTTAACTTGACAGGTAAAATGTATAAATTGTGTAAGGAGCTTTGAATCTAGACATCAGTGATAAGATGGTAAAAACAAAGTCTCTCAAACACTAATGTTTTCCTGTTGTGTGAAGGGTTTGTGTCTGAGTCCAGGATTCAGCTCATTCATTGAGGTCATGCTTCACCATCATAAATATCATTGTATTTAATATGTTTTTCTTTGATATTTGTACCATTGCACGTCTATATTAAAGGTTAATGCTTTTATGTTATTTGCTGTCAAGCCAATATTAGCTCCATGCAATCATATAGACAGCATTGCGCTGGAATATTCTGTATTCTGTCCAGGTCATTGAGCTTTCCCAAGGTCCAGTCTGCTGCATAGTTTGTGACGGCTGGATTATTTGTTGATTATTGTTGCAGGGAGTCGAAAGATAATCTCAATGTCTGATGTCAACTGCTGTTCCAGTGGTCATAACCACTGTCTTATTCGCTTTAGCTGTAGCCTTTTCACTCTGTTCTTTAATTGTCCTCATAAGTGTATTCAGATGATCATTTTCTTGATAAGTGTGGTGTCATCAGCCTTTCAAAGGATGTCTCAATTGACAGGGGTGCTGTAAATGTGGGGGAGTAGTTAGAAAAAATTCTTAAGCAACAGGGGCCTTAAAAAAATTGGAACATATGATTGGCTAGGGTTGGGGGCCCAATATTATAATGACACCCCTGTCAATAGGTATGGTAGTAGTATGCAGCTGTGTTGACCTCCTGTACAGTCAAGAACTATACAGTTTATTCATGTTTTCTCCTGACCAAGGCTTCTTGTCCATGGTAAAGATTCTTCATAAGGTCAATAAGGTGCTTGGGGGCATCCATCTTCCTGAGGACATTCCGGAGTTTGACATGGTCACGCATGCGAAGGCTTTGTTGTAATCAATTAAGCACATGTTGGTTTCCTTCTGGAATTCCTTTTTTCCTTTGTGTGCTCATAATGATTTCTCTCATTTCTCTGTCATTCGTAAATCCAGCTTGCGCGTCCAACAATTAGCTTTCTATGTAAGCCTTTAATCTAAATTTAATAGTATTTAGCATAGTCTTACTGGCACATGATTAAGAAAAACTGTATGATATTTCAAGAAACAGATTAAAAGCCAAAATCAATCCAGAACCAATAAAAAACTCAAAATGTCAGTATTGGTCTCATTTGCTTTGTGTAAACATCAGCTCTTGGTTGCCTTCTGCCAATCAATGCGTTTACCCTGTTAAAATAACATTCCCACGTCATCGCGTTCACGTTGAAAATAAGACTGACCGCCGTCTTTCTGCTGGCTCATCTCCTCCTTCCGGGAAACAAACAAAGGAAAGGCCAGTTTTATTACTCACAGAATTGAAAAGGTTATATTTGGCATCGATTCTGAAAGCAATAAATACAGGGTACAAATCAAATCAGATTCCAGGGGGATTTCCTCTTTAAAGCTTATATGTTTTGGTTTATCCGTTTAAAGGATTCGCAGGATGGAAAGATAGATGCTGTGTATTAATGACCACACAGTCCCGTAGTTAATCACGTGTTTTGAAAAAGTGCTGGAAATTTGCAACATTTGTTCCTTTAAGCCATTAATTTATTAGGCTGTCTGCACAACCTTGTTTTAGTTTAGCGATGCAGCTGTTTATTTGCCGTTTTTGCTTTATTCTTCGTCCCATTGATTATTTCCTATTATGAACAGATGGCATTGTCGCAATCAGACTCCTCCGTGGACACTGACCATTTTTTCGGAAATGCGCAGCTTTGAGACTGGCTGCATATGTGCCTGCTGGGAAATGGCTTAGGAAGAGCTCCCGTTCGATGTCGCCCCACGTCCCGAGGTTTACGACCTCATTAGCGCGTTAGCCGAGGCTAACATCCACGGCTGCGTCGCGCGGCTCAGATGTGCACTCGCGTGATTTATTGTGTCTGCTGACGGTAGCGAATTTGCTAACTCTGTTCTCTTTGTTCTGTTCGAACTGACTTGTATGAATTCACCCCGCGCGGTGAGACTGTACGATAAGGAAGATCCACGTGACAGTGAGTTTCGTCATGCACACAAACTGTACAGCAATCTGATTATCTTTGCCTTAGACTGCAAGGTAATGGAATCAATCATGGCTCTGAGCTGTGCTGCAATGAGCCATGCATCATGGTTGGGGGGGGAAGAGATTGAGTCGTCCAAAGAACATCGGCAGACCTATTGCCTGTCCCCGGATCTTCACACCTCCTGAGGGCCATCTGAAGAGCTTCTTCCAAAGACCTCTAGAGGAGATGGACAGGGCCTGGTCCCTTCTATATTCTGAGTGTTTTCGCTGTCTTCTTCTAAAAGCCTCTTCCCGGCATCAGAGACCCTCCCAGCTGCCTCAAATTCCCAGTGATTCTGGTTAGAATGCAGCCTCTTCTAGCTGGATGCTGTGTGCTTGTTGTCAGACCCCATTTGTAGTGTCAGATTTGATTTAAGTTTGGGGGTAGTGATTATGACGTCAAGTTTTTAAGGCTGTGTTTCTGTATTGGGACTTTGGGGAGGGGGGGCAATATCTGTATCTGTGGTCGTGTAGGAAGGGAAAATGCACCAGTTATACCATTTGTTTCCTCCTGCATGGTCCGTCTTTGTTTACTGCTGCTCTGGGTTGCTAAGGTGAGCTGTGTTCACACTAACAGCGCAGTATCACCTCCCAGACGATGCGTCTCTGGTCCCAGAATCGTCATTTACCTGTCAGGTGCAAGTCGCCTTCCGGGGTCTGTCCCAGTTACGGTATGATAGAATTTTCCGGTCACAAGTCAGCGTATGCTTCTTCTTGGGTTTATCGCACTTTCTCGGGGTTTGGAGCAGAAAGCACTCCAGAACTTGTTCGAGGGGGGGGCAGGTCACATGACCAGTCGTGGATGTGTTTTTCAGAAACCTGAATGGTTCTGGTAGCCTCCAACAATGACACCCACCCCTCCCCCCACAACAGTGTGGCTGACGGCATGCCCCTGCTTTCCCAGTCCTCTGGCAACACGTGTCTGTTCCCACTTGACAGGATCCGTGTGCGCTCAAGCGTGAACACGGGACTCGTTCCCACCGCGCCTCAGACCTCACTTCCTACACGTCAGACACATGGAGCTGTAATATGTCACAGCTATACTTGCTATGACTCCCATTGGGTAAAGTTATATCTATCAGTAGCCGAAAACATCTGAAAATATGGGATAATAAAGGAAGTCAGTATATAATAATGTATACGAGACCATATGTTATGGGGGTGCTTATATGTCAGTGGGTCATACTTTAGTCTCCAGGGTTACAAAATTCCAAATTTTATATGGACTTTGCAAGTTCTCCCTGGGTTAGGATGCTAACTAGCTGCCTTGTACTACCAAGTGGTTATGGAAGATGGATGCATGTTTCATTTCAACTGGGTACATTCCTGCCTGGATTTCTGTACTTCTGCTCAGAATTTAAGGGACAGGAATTGCTGAATCCCTATAGATGCATCTATTCAGGTTTCCTCCAGTCAGTTTGACTCTGCCAGTATGGGAGGGGTTCTCCATTCGTGTCAGTTGGAGAGGCAGTCTGGTAAAAGTTGAGAGCAGGAAGGCACAGCTCCAGGACGATAAGGTCCAAGCAGGTCCCAGCCCCCGTGTCACCGTGTGCAGTCGGGGTAGCCCCGCCCCCCATTGTCCACCCACAGATTGAGTGTCCGAGGCACGGAAATTGGCGGACGTCGATACAATGGGCATGGGCCGATGCGGAGATAGCTGAAATGAGGTCTGTGAATGCCCACTCTGTGGGGTGTCCCTTGGAGGGGAGAGCAACTGGGAAGGGAAATAAAAAAAAAAATAATTCTTCAAGCTTCTGGGATTTAGCACCCCTGTGGTGCTGCCGAGGAACCACTCTGCTATGCCATAGCAAAGAAACCCCCCCCAACGCAGGGAGTGTCTGCAGATCTGCATGCTGGGAGAGAAACGTTTTTATTAGAAATTGACCATGTGATACAGGAACAGGAAATGTGTCATCGACTGGCCGCTTTTCCTCCCTGTCACTCTCAGCATGACCTGGCTGAATCGGCACCTGCCACCCGGAATCCTCATTATAGCTCCAAATCAAATCCCAGTTTACCGATCCGCCCCAGAACAAGTCTCACATGAACACAGATGCATTGCAAACCATTCATCCTGTCATGTATAACAGGAAGTGAAGTGCCTGTTTCAGCTGGTGGTAGCAGTGAATATTTCCTCCTCACTAATGATGCCCTCTGTTTCCCCCCCCCCCCCCCCACCTCCTTCCTGACAGGTCGACAGTTATGCCCCCCCGAGAAATTCGACTGTGGGGGCTCTTCGGGCAAATGCATCTCGCTGTCCTGGCGATGCGACGGCGAGCGGGATTGCGAGAACGGCGCCGACGAGCTGGCCTGCGTGGCAGGTGGGTTCCTGGGATCGCGGACGGGAGCTGGTTGGTTAGAACGCGCTGCTTTTATTTAATATTTGGTGTAGTGTTTGTGTATGGCCAACAGGGGGCCACACCTCAGGTTTAAGCCAAATCTTAGATTCATTTACATTGTCACGGCTTCCATGGTACATGTCTGTGGGTTTGAGCAGGGCCCTTATCCCCCAGCTCCCTGGGCGCCCCAACAGGTGGCCGCCCTTCACGGCCAGCTTGCTCTCACCTACAGAGAGCAAGTTGGGGGAGGTGTAAAGCGAATTTCCCCACGGGGGTCAATAAAGTATCAATTATTATTATTATCCAAGATCAGAAATTTTATAAGCTAACACTATTTGACTTCCAAATTAGTTTCTTGGGATGACTGACCTTTTTTAAAGGGACGCTGCACATGTTTATAAACCATTTTGCATAACTTGGTGTGCAGACTTTCCGTGCAGCTTTGCCTAATGAGTATCGTAACACAGCACCTTCAAATCCTTTCGTTTCAGCACCTTTTACTCACGTGCCTTAATTACCCCCCCTTGCCTAAAATGCATCCCGACGCCCAAGACCCTGTTAGGCTACCTCATGCGACATGCGACATGCGCCAAGCGCATTAACATAAACATACACATTTCTCGAGCTTAATCGTTCATGACAATCTGGAAAATTGATTTCTGTGTGTCATTACAAGCTTTCATTGCCTTGACAGTGTGTGACACAGGAACTGGGTGGGTAGGTGGGGGGGTGCACTGTTATGGAAGAACCCCACTGTTAATATGCTTTGGATGAGGTTGCTGGAGCATAACTACATGTCCCATAATGCACTGCTGGTGTGGTACTGTGGGCACATGTCTCCATCTGTGCGGAGGGGGCAGGCTGCTTGATGACACCCCTTGTTGGCCTCGGAAGCCCCCCCATGATTCATACATTATGTCTGTCTGCACTCCATATACCCCTTCGTGCATGTGATGGTGCCTTTGCGATTAAACTGAGATCATTATGGGAGGGGTGGTATGGTTCAAGCGTTACCAGGGAGCCCCCCCATTTGTTCCTAAACAAACCGAACCCCCACGGGGCTTGTTGACAGCTGGGCGGCCCTTGTGATTCAGGCCCTGAATGTGGGATGAATAATGGATCGCCGCATGTCGGCCCCCTCCAGCAGAGCAGGGCGTCCCAGCTTGCCCGTCTTCAGCCAGTGCTGGGGCTGCCATACGCTCTCCAGGCCGCGCACTGCCGTGTCCTCGCTCAGGGATACAGCAGCGATGTCCCGATGCACTCGAGACCTGGGACCTTGTGTTCAGAGGGTCGCCAGCTCGAATCCCAGAGAGAAGTTCCTGTCAAGCCCCCGAGCAAGACCCTTAAGCCCCAATAGCACCAAAGAGTGTTTCTTCCTGCTTTCACAAAAATGTAGGAGAGCCTAAATGAATGTAAATGAGACGCGTGGGGGAATGTGCCGCATGCTGCGGAAGCGTGTCGTTAGCATGTTCTGCATCCCCTATTGACACGCGCCGCTTGCTTTTTTGGCTTCCTGTGCGCGAGTGACATTTCCACTGCTCAGTGTCCCATGCGGGCAGGACGCGGACCAAACGGAGCCCGATGTAGATAATCCTGCTCTCTGAGATACATGCAGCCGCACGGAGCTGCTCTTTCCATCCAGCAGAAGCTGGGGGAGGGGGGATGTAAAAGGTAACTATCTTGTAATGTTTCTCTTTTATTCATGTTTTTTTAAAAAGATTATAGAATGTCACTTCTGGTTATTCAGTGAAAGGCCTCTGTTCGGTCCAACTACTCTTAGGGGTCCCATATCTCAGCTGGAGTGAACTCTTATTAATTTAAGACCTCGATATAATTAAGTCCCTTGATCTTTTTGTGTTTTTAAAAGTGCTTGCATTCATTTAAATGTACTCAACTTTTACATTTAATCGTCTAATTGCCAGCGGAGGTTATTTCAGTGTTTTTTTTTTTCTTTTCTGAGGGATACCTTCACACTCAGCTTCTGGACATGAAAACCTGGAGCAGATTGCAGCACAGATGAAGCTTTTGTTTTTCTGTGTATTTTAATTGTTATTTACAAAACCTCAGAGAGATTGAGGTGGAAATCATTTCGCTTTGGCACCAAGAATTTAAAAAAATGATGTTGCTTACGCGATGGTTGGGAGTGCATTATGACTCATTTAAAATATCGCGTTTTCAAATATGTAATTGTGATAAACAAGCACTTGATGTTTCCTGCCCCGTTTTTGTTAAATATCGATATAAAGAGAAATCCCTTCATATCTTTTTGAAACCCCTCTCTTGGGTGGGTTAAATTGCAGCCTAGCGTGCGGAACATTCCAGCCTTCACCAGACGAGTGGTGTTCTGCGTTCAGCGAGATCCTCTCCTGCTCTGCAATCATGTCCGCCAGATCAAGGCAGCTTTTTGATGCTGCGTAGTCACTTTTCTTGGGGGGGCGGGGAATGGCCCATTGTCCCCGTTGCTGTCTGGAGGGGTGTTTGTGTTACATGGCTGCACAGTCTACAGGAGGAATTCTGGGAAAAATCCTGATAGAAGAGTGACTTTGTTGAGTTCTGTTCGCTTTTGAAGGTAGGTAGGAATCCATCCATTTATTTTCTGTTAGCACTTATCTTATTCATGGTCATGAGGGATGCAAAGCCTATCCTGGAGGCTACGGGCACAAGGCAAGAAACAACCATTTACTCACACATGCACAGCTACAGGCAATGTGGGAAATACAATTAACCTCTGCATGTTTTTGGACTGCGGGGGGAAACTGGAGCGCCCAGAGGAGATCCCGCGGTGGCATGGGGAGAACATGCAAACTCCACACATATGTAGGCAGGGCGAGAACTCAAACCCTAGTCCCAGACGTATGAGGCAACAATGCTAACCACTGCACCACCATGCCACCCCAAAGTAGGAATCCCTCTCCGGATAATCCTGTTCTCCTGGCGTAATCATTTTCTGCGTTTGTTCTGGGTTAATGAACACCTGTCTGCAGAAATGGCTCTTTAGATGTTCTCAGAAGCCCCGATTAACAGTCCAATGTCTCTCCAGTGGGGAACACCCAGTAGGTTAATCTTGGCACACGTTCCTGTACAAAGAATGAGAATAGTGCAGACTGTAACACATGTAGCATGATTGCTGTCTGTTCGTTCAGAACAATGATGTGTCAGTGGAGGAAGGAAGGGAGTAAGTGGACAAAATGACCTTGCCTGCCTCTGTAAGCGTTTGTGCTGGTGAGAAAGGGAATATCTCTGAAAGACAATCTCCTAGAGCTGTCACGAGTGTCAGAACGCTGTTTAATTACAAACCATTTTCTGGACAATCTGAAGTAGATCTTCCACAGAATCATTGCTTTTCCCTCCTGCTAAATCTGCTGGAACAGCAGAAGTTGAATAGGACACTTGGGATACTTCCCACTCTGCCCTGCTACAGAACATCTCTGTTTGCCGCGCTTCTGTTGAAAAGAGCAGTTATAAGTGAAATGTATGGGAAAGCAAACTTCAGCTGCCGTAGATGTGGGAGGCAAGGAAGCTGGTGACGGAGGACAGGATTGGAATTGCTGCATCTTAGATGTACGTTGCGATTATCATTCTGTGTTTGCCTTTCAGAATTGGCTGTGCACTTCAAAAACAACAGTTTATTAGAAAGGTATTCAGGGAATGCAGCATCTGGAAATACTGTGGCATAGAGAACTAATATTTTACCACATCCTACAGTGTTTATAATTATTTAGTAAAATAAATCATACAAATGCTTTTGAAAATTTGTATGTTTTTAAATGATGAAGCTGTAATTTGACACCCAATTTTAACTGATCTGTTAACACAGGTAATGTTAGGGTTAAAGAAATTGCATGTTTGAGGACGGTGTGTGTCTTGAGTCCCCACTAGGAAATGTATGAGTATATTAATAAAAATAAGTGTTTACAGCCTTTGGGAGGAAAAAGTGTGTGATAAATGAAATCAGGGGATGAGATTTATTTATGAATAAACCGGCAAGTGCATGAACAGCGAACAGCAGTGATACACAAACACACAGCAAGAGTCATCTGATCTGGGGCTTGTATCACGAAGCAGGATTTCTTACTTAGCTGGGTAACTTGTCATATTTAAAGTACTATGGGATGAATACACTTACATTTAGCCCAGACTCTCTTAAATCTGACAAGTTAAGCAAGAAATCCTGCTTTGGGATACAGACCCCTGGTATTGTCGCCATGGCATTCACGATACATCGCCATTGTCTTTAATAATCTGCCTTTCTTACCTTACAGTTATTAATCTTTTATTAAAACTGGTTCTGAGTAGTTTTTCTATGAGGATAGATGGCTTAGTGGTGTCACCTCACACCTACAGGGTATGGGGTTGAATCTCTCGCCTACTTTATCTGCGCAGTTTCCATGCTCTTCTCAGTCATTGTGGGGGCCAAATTTCTGCACAATGTGATAAAAACCTGTTGGTTTGACCTTGTGGGGGAAATTGCCTGGGAAAAGTTTTATAAAAATCTATGAATACAAAAAACTAACCAAAAGTTAAGGTTTGGGCTGGGTAGGGGTTAAGGCTGTCATAGTTGAGATTAGGGTTATGCCCATAGAAATGGAGAGTCCCCATAAAGATATAGTTACCTGATCTGTGTGTGTGTGTGTGTGCGCGCGCACCCGCGCCCAGCAAAGGACTAGCGTCCCATCTAGTGTGTCCTTTGCTGCCTGGAGTAGGTTCAAGATCCCTCTCAACCCTGACCAGAATAGTGGTTGTAAGATGGATGGATATGTAATTTGTCTATAAGAGATTTTTCTTGGCTGACACTTATATAAGGTGACTTTTTACCATTTTATACAGCTGGATACTTTACTGCAGTGGTTCAATTCATGGTTCTGTCTGGGATTGGAACCAGCAACCTTCATGTCTGAGGTGCAAGTCCTTATCTTCTGCACAGAGGTGCATGAAATTGGTATTTTATTTATAGTCAGTCTGCTTTGTGAAGGTTTTGGGCT